CCCTTCCGGAAGCAGATCACCTGTGTTTCAAGGCCTCTGGGTGGATACAAACCAGCAACCTTTTGGCTAGTAGTCAAGTGCTTAACTGTTTGCACACCCAGGGAGGGACCAAATAAGGTTACAGTTCTAACTTAGAAAGTTTACGATATATAGCACCAGGGAAGTTCTAGAAAATGTTAGAAATCCACATAACTGAACAGAGCATCATCTGTAAACCACCCTCTGTCCTGGAATAATGAAGGCAGGCAGTGTGAAGGGAACCTTGCAGATTGTTTTGTTTCTCTGGGTCTCTAGCTTTAGGCTTTCCCTCCACTGCCAAGAAATGAGTCTTGCTTTACGGAATTGCCCTCGTGTCATTGCCTGGTGAAGAGGTGTGTCTTAGACCTGAAACTGAGGAGAAGCCTACATAAACATTCTCTAGATTTCTAATAGCTAAACTTGTTATTGTTGTTGTTGTTAAGTGCCATCGAGTCGGGTCCGACCCATAGCGACCCAGTACAGGGTTTCCGAGGGTGTAAATCTTTACGGGAGTAGAAAGCCTCATCTTTCTCCCGCGGAGCGACTAGTAGTTTCGAACCGCTGACCTTAAGGTTCGCAGCCCAATTCATAACCACTACGCTACCAGAGCTCCTTAATAGCTAAACTAGTGCCTGTTTATTCCAAGTCATGGTGTCCCCGTGTGTGCTCCATAAGGTTTTCAGTGGCAGGTTTTTTTGAAAGTAGGTCCCAGGTTTTTCTGAAACATATCTGGGTGAACTTAAACATCTAATCTTTTGGTTGGCAGTTAATGATTTGCACCACCCAGGGACTCCCAAAAGAGAAATTTTGGATATTAAAGTTAGAGCGTCTTAGGCAACTGTGGTTTCTGATCTGATAGCTCTCAGAGAGCTGTACCTGGAAGGTCTGTCCCTTTGATTTCCTAAGACTGGGAGCTCATTCCCTTTTAGAATTCAAAGATTGACAACCAAAGGCCTTTTTGGTTTAGCATCCCTTGAGTCTCAACTCCTATCTTTGGATATTTGCACCAGTCTATTTCCTACTAGAGATTATCCCAGTTCTTTTTAAATCTCTGCTGGAGCTTATGGCTTTACCTCTATCACCACTAATCAGACAAAAACATGTCTATAGTAACTTTCTTTAATTCTGTATTCTGCAGAATTTGTTTTGACTGCAAGTGACTTAAAACCAAAATTAATATTGACTTGGGAAGATAGAATTTATTTTATTTTTTATACTTCTCACATAACTAGAGGCAGCTTCCTGATCATTGGGGCCATAGGTTTCCTTTGTCTCTTTAGTCCTCCTCCTTTACCCAGGATGGCTGTTCCCGGGGTAATGTCTGCATTCAAGCCAGCAGGCAGCATGACTGGAGTGCATGCTGTCCCTTTAAGGGTTTATTAGCAGTTGCCCGCATCACTCTTTTCATATTCTGTAAGTCAGCCCTAGTTACTGTTATCATGTCTACATATTAATGTAGCCACACCTGTATATTGGAAATATATGTCTGTCCAAAACTTGGAATACTAAATTCTGTAGCAATTCAAAAACAGCAGTATATCCACAGGGAACTGCCCAAAATCCAAGCCAGATTCAGAAGAGAATATAGAACAAGGGGTATCATTGCTGATGCCAGATGGATTTGGGCTGAAAGCAGAGAATACCAGAAAGACGTTTACCTATGTTTTACTCACTTTTCAAAGGCATTGACTGTGTGGATCAAATTATAGATAACATGGTGAAGAATGAGAATTCCAGAACAGTTCATTGTGCTCCTGCACATAGACCTGCAAGAGGCAGCCTTTGTTCAGAACAAGGTGATTTTGTATATTTTAAAAATCAAAAAAGTGTGTATCAGGCTGGTATTCTTTTACTATACTTATTCAATCTGTATGTTAAGCAAATAACTCAAGAAGCTGGACTGTATGAGGAAGAACACAGTATTGGGATTGGAGGAAGACTCATTAATAGTCTGTGATATTCAGATGACACAACCTTGCTTGTCAAAAGTGAAGAGAATTTGAAGCACTTACTGATGAAGATCAAAGGCTACAACCTTCAGTATGGATTATACCTCAATGTAAAGAAAACAAAAATCTTCACAAGCAGACTAATAAGCAACATCATGATAAATGATGCTGTTAAGAATTTCATTTTACTTGTGTCCACAATCAACAGCCATGTAAGCAGCAGTGAGGAAATTAAAGGATGTATTGCGTTGGGTAAATCTGCTACATAAGACCTCTTTAAAGCAAAGATGTCACTTTTAGGGCTAAGATGCTCCTGACTAATCCATGGTCTTTTCAATTGCCCCATATGCATGTGAAAGCTGGACAGTGAATAAGGAAGACTGAAGAATTGATGCCTTTGAGGTATGGTGTTGGTAAAGAATTTTAAATATACCATGGACTTCCAGATGAATGAACAATTTGTCTTGGAAGAAGTCTAGCTAGAATGTTCCATAGACTTGAGGATGGAGAGATTCGTAATACGCTATTAGGAAGACTAAGTCCCTGGAAAAGGAAGTTGTTGTTGTTGCTGTTAAGTGCCATGGAATCAGTTTAGACTCATAGTAACGCTGCATAGTGGATATGAACCGCTGACCTTGTAGTACAGTGCTTTAGCTACAGCGTCACACCAGAACTTGAAGTAAAGAGTCAGTAAAAGAGAGGAAGCCCTTCAATGAGATGGATTGGCACAGTGGCAGATGCAATGGGCTCAAGTGTAACGATGATTGTGAGGATGGCGCAGGACTGGGCAGTGCTTCGTTCTGTTATGCATAAGGTCACTCTGAGTCAGAACTGACTTGACAACACCTAATAACAGCAATAACATAGTAGAAAGGGAGAACAGGGATTGGGGCACACCGATTGGTGTGTTTTACATACACCTTATTCTATTGTGATTTAACGATTTTCCTGTGATGTTTGAGGAGAAAACATAGAATAATGTAGAGTATGTAACCAATTTTAAATAATTTTTTATCAGAATGATAAATTCTTGGCTCTCTTAAAAATTTTGACCTAATAGAATAAAATTATATGCAAGCCTGCTCCTGGCCACTAGCACACAGCCTTTCTCTTTCCATGAGTCTAGAGTCCTCAGCTGCTCCCTCTCTCCTTGTCCTCATCTCTACCTCTGTCTCTGGTGTCGCTGCTTCTCTGGATAGGGTCCCACATACCGCTCATGCTCTTCTCCCTCGATGGTCCTAGGGTCCTCTGTTCCTGGAATGTAAAGTTAACTACTGCTCTCTTTTTGTTACAAAACTTCTACCTTTACAGCTGTGACAACCGCAGTTAGTCATGGTAACAATTGTTGTTGTTGTTGTTATGTGCCGTGGAGTCGGTTCTGACTCATAGCGAAGGGTACAGGGTTTCCGAGACTGTAAATCTTTATGGGAGCAGAAAGCCTCATCTTTCTCCTGCAGTACAGCTGGTAGTTTCGAACTGCTGACCTTGTGGTTCGCAGCCGATTCGTAACCACTACGCTACCAGAGCTCAGTTTTAAATCATCAGAATCTTATCCCCATCTCTTTTTACTAGACCCACCTAGACAAGTTGAAAACTATTCAGTGGAGACTCTGCTTCCCCGACCCCTCATACCTTTAAACTAAACTCCCTCTTGAAAACTCATATAAATTGTATATCTTTTCAGTGATGCTTGGAAGTTTGACTTCTTTATTAAATATGGATATAATATAGATGATGCTATGGAGCATACCAGGTATAAAATATTAAAGAGGAAATATATACCTTTTATTTTTAAATTCATTGCCATCGAATCGATTCTGACTCCTAGTGACCCTGTATAGGGTTGCTGAGGCTGCAGATCTTTACTGAAAGCAGAAAGCCTTATCTTCCATGGAGTGGCCAATGTATTTAAACTGCCAGCCTTGGGGTTAGCAATCCAGTGCCCACCAGGGCTCCTTTTATCTTTATGTTGTTGTTGTTGTTGTTGTTGTTGTTAAATGCTGTTGAGTCGGTTCCGTCTCATAGCTACCCTGTATAGGGTTTTCAAGGAGTGACTGATGAGCTTGAACCGCTGACTTTGTGGTTCAAATCGACCTTGCAGTCTGGCACATTAACCTGAAGCATCACACCATAACAAGATAATAAAAATATTGAATTCTCAAATTATGAATAGTCTATAATGAATCATTTTACTGTTAAGTGCTGTCACATTGGTTCTGACTCATAGCAACAGGGTTTTTAAGAATTAACTGGTGGGTTTAAACTGCCAATTTGGCAGTTAGCAGTCCAGTTCTTATCTTACAGCACCATATGAGGACTATAGAAAACATTTTAGTAGCAGATAATATAAAAGCTCCTAGTTTGAATGAAGTCAAAGATATATAAATTAAATGAAATTGTAGAATTCTTTTTGTTCACTAACAATTAACTGATATAGTGAATAACAGATATAATAACGTTGACCTTGCAGATTTTTTGGAAGTTCTCTTCTTCACATCAGAGCTTGAGGAAAATGTAGTATTTAACAGAATTTATCCTCTTTATTGTGAGAGAAAGATGAGACTTTCTGGGAAATTCTATATAGGATCACTGAGTCACAACAGACTCAGTGGCATTTAACAATGATGCTTTAGGAGCTCTGTACTGTAGGCTAAGCACTGGACTGCTAACTCCAAGGTTGGGAGAACCCACCATTGCTTCACTGGAGAAAAATGAGACTTCCTGCTCCGGTAAAGATTTGCATCCTCGGAAGCCCCGTATGTAGGGGTTGTTGTGAGTTGTCATCAACTCAATGGCAGTGGGTTGGGTTGGGTGGCCTATGAGTTGTTAACTGCAAGGTCGAGGTTCAAACACACCAGCTACTTCTTGGGAAAATGATGGGACAGTCTGCTTCTGTCAAGATTTACAGTCTCGGAAACGCTATATAGAGTCACTGTGAGTCAGAGTGGAGTGGGCTATTCTCATTATTAAAAGTGTTTTGCCTTTAAAACTCAGGATGTAATGCTATAATGATAATCATTATTTCCTCTATAGGCAAGAAGTTTGATAGCTGTTGGACTGGGTGTTGCAGCCTTCGCATTTGCAGGTAAGAGAAATAGGGATTGCGGGTTAATGCGGTAAATTGCAACGTCGGCATGGGCTGTTAAAGCCGGTGGTTCTAGCTCACCAGCTGCTAGTTGGAAACCCTGTACTGGGTCGCTATGAGTCGGATCCTGACTCGATGGCACTTAACAACAACAAAAACAATTGTCTTAGTTATCTAGTGCTGCTGTCTCAGAAATGCCCCAAGTGCGTATTCTAACAAACAAATGTCTTTTCTCACAGTTAGGATCGTTGTTGCTGTTAGGTGCCATCGAGTCGGTACTGACTCATAGCCACCCTATGCACAACAGAACAAAACACTGCCCGATCCTGGGTCAACCTCACACTTGTTGACACACTTGAACCCATTGATGCTGCCATATTGCCAATCCATGTCGCTGGGGGTCTTCCTCTTTTTCTCTGACCTTTCGCCTTAGCAAACATGATATCCTTCTCCAGTGACTGATCCCTCCTGACAATACGTCCGAAGTATGAGAGCCGAAGTTTGGCCATCTTGGCCCTCAAGGAGCACTCTGGTTGCGCTTCTTACAACACAGATCTGTTGGTTCTTTTGTCAGCCCATGGCACTTTTCAATATCCTCCTCTAATACCATAACTCAAATGCGTTAAGACTTTTACGGTCTTCCTTATTCACTGTCCAGCTTTCGGAGGATAGAAGTCCAAATTCAGCGTGCTGGATCTAGGGAAGACTTTCTCTCTGTGTCAGCTCTCAGGAAGGTCCTTGTCCCCTTAGCTTCTGTTTCCTGGTCCCTTGAAGGTCTCCATGTGGCTTAACGTCAATCTTTCTCCATCTCTGATTCTTTTGCTTGCATGTTTAATCTTGTTTGTATCTCAAAAGAGATTAAGACACACCCTACCCTAACCCTTTGTAATTAATCTAACAGACAACTCATTTCTAAATGGCATTATAACTACAGGCATAGAGGTTAGGATTTAGAACACATACATTTGGGGAACACAGTTCAATCTATAATGCATATCAATAACTGTTGCAGGAGAAACATTTCCAAATAGCTTTCAGGGTGATTCATGTGCAGACCCTTAGTTTGCTAAGGTTTTTGGTTTTAAGACATTATGCATTACCATTTTTTCTACTATTTATAGTCACTGAACATTTGTCAGTAAAGCAAAATCTGGATAAAGTTTGTAGTGCAGAGAATTAATGATGGATAAGCTAGGAAACTAGTTCCAATCATAGTTGATCTTCCTGGCACTTTTTTTTTTTTTTTTTTTAAGTTTGAGTTATAGTGTAGTATATGAAACTCTGTAATTGAAGCAATATAAATGATCTGAGGCTTTTTCTCCCATATTTATTTTTTCTTGCAGATGGGGCTATACATTTTCTGAGTTGTCCTTTCTGATGAGCATAGCTTTTCTCTATATTTAGTACTTCATCTTTTCGCATTTTGGATAATTTCTTTGATAAACCCAGGAGATTGTCTTTCACTGACTTAATTACCTTTTTCAAAAGCATAATTATAAAGATTCAAAGGAAAACTGTTTTCTGTTTTGGGCATTAGTTTATAGTTTTAAATTACATTGTGATGGTTGTATGCCACTGAGTCAAATCCAACTCCTAGTGACCCTGTGTAGGGTTACTGCGGCTGTCTGGGAGCAGAAAGCCTTCTTATTCTTCTTGAAGTGACTGGTAGATTCAAACCATTGGCAGTTAGCAGTTCAGCTTATAATCTACTCTGCTACCAGGGCTCCTGTTTCAATTACATAGCTTTCCCCAATTAAATAATACTCTGAGAGCATTTCCCTATGAAAGATTTATTTTGTTTTTGTTTTACCATTTGTGTTTCTAAGTTCCATGGATTTGACCTGGTTAATTGAATCTCTTTTAGGTGGAGCTATACTGGTGTGGTGCAGTGGGCTAATGTGTCAAACTGCAAAGTCGTTTGAACTGCAAGGTTGGTGGTTCAAGCTCACCAACTGCTCCTTGGAAACTCTATACAGGGTCGCTATGGGTCAGAATTGACACGATCGCACTCAACAACAACATATTACATTCCAAGGAGCTCTGCTAGCGTAGTAGATTACAAGATTAGCTGCTAATATAAAGATCAGCAGTTCGAATCTACCAGCCGCTCAGCAAGAAAAAGATGAGGCTTTCCGCTCTCGTAAAGACGTACAGCCTCGGAAACCCTATACTGGGTCTCTATGAATCGGAACCGACTCCATGGCACATAGCCACCACTACCGCGTTCCATTCCATTCTGTTTATATAGCTTTTAGTAAGATCCAGTAGGAAATGGAACAGCAAAGCCATTTTTATTTATTTGCTTGGTTTTACATTTTTATTTAATGAACTTTCAACAATAAGAATTTTTAAATCAAGACGGTCAATGGTTCAGATTTCCTTGATCTTCCGTCATAGTGTCTCATTAAATAACTATAGTTAACCGACTGAAGATTCATAACAAGACTGTCATTTCTAGAAAAAAACACTCTGATAAATTTGTCCTTAAATATAAGACAATTCTAGTTTTAGTTATTATAGGATAATATAGAAGAAACATCATTGTTGTTAGTGCCATTGAGTTAGTTCCGACTCATGGTGACCCTGTATAGGATTTTGGAAGAGTGGCAAGTGGGTTTGAACTGCCAACCTTGTGGTTCAAACTGACCTTGCGGTCCAGTGCATTATCCTGCAGCACCATACCAGGACTCCAGTAGAGGCATAGCTATTAGAAATTCAAATATTAAAAGGCAGAATTCTTCCAGAACCAACAACAATTCAATACTAGTATATAGGAGAACGTATACGTGGACTTGTTGGACCTAGGCCTTCTGCTTTATGGTTAAATTAAGCCTGAAGATGTCACTTCTTCTAGCCTTCTACTTCTTTCCCCTCTGGGACTGAAGGTCAGTTAACTGCCTAATTTTAATATTGAAGACATTTGAGGTAATTGAAAAGCTACATTTTTTACTATTGTAAAACCAAATGACGGATACATTTATATGATAAAAGATTTGGGCCAGTTAGGACTCAGCTTCATTTAATTTTACTTCATTAATGTTTTGGATCTCAAGAGTTTTTAATTTCATCCTTTTTTGGTTACTTCACTTTTTCCTATTTCCGGGATCCTGTTGTTAACTCTAATACATGACATTTGCAAAGGAGTAACAGTATAATCAGGCAGGTAAAAGATCTGTGTAGTTCAGCTTTCACAATAGAAATTTTAATTGATTTGCAAATAAGCTTATGGCTAGAAATTGAATTAAAATCTGTAGTGTTCTGTACTAGTTTTCTAGGAAGACTTTTGGAAAAAGAGACATTCATGATCACTCTGTAGTAGGCAGACATTCTGATTAAGGTGCAAAAAGGTCAGTTACCCAGATCATATAATTTCATTCATGTTTTATGCTCCCAAAACAATTTAGGACCTATTTTGCTATTGATTCATAGTTGTCAAGAATCAGGGGATTTTTAAATCTTGCACTATCTATGAGAAGAAAGCACTAAAATTAATGTGTAGCGAGTGTGAGCGAAATGAGTAAGGAAGGCTATTTGGTAAATATTTCCTATGTAGTTTCATTTTTACTTTAAAGATAACTCCATTGATAATCCCTTCTATTCTATATTGTAAAGATGTTAAACAATATTTATTTTCCCATTATACCAAAGTGATATCATGATATAATTATTTTAGATTATAAATATCTTTGTAAGTAAAGGGACTTTATCAATAGTTGTGAAAAAGTACTAGAAAGTCATCTCTTATGTTGTAAAACATTGTGTAAATGTTAGATACTACACATAAGCATCCATAATTTCTAATTGAGCGATTCTGTACTAGAACTTGACACACAAAATAGCACTGATGATGAAATCCTGTGTACATTCAATAAATCATAAGTCTTAGAAAAATAGCCTGTATAAATGATTAGTAAATACCTTAGTATTCACCTCAAGGTTGTTGATGTGGCTTTGGTTATAGAAAACATGTTTTCTTTTATTCATTTTATGATTTAGGTCGCTATGCATTTCAGATCTGGAAACCTCTAGAACATGTCATCACAGAAACGGCAAAGAAGATTTCAAACCCTGTAAGTTAGACGTGATTTTAGCGGGAGAACTATTTTGATTTTTATTTATTTATAGGCCATATTTAACAGTAACTCTGCCTGAGTGGAAGTGGACAGCACAGGGAGGAGGGGGGGATTGTGAGGACTGTCATCAGTGTCATAAAACAAGGTGTGTATAAGTCGTTTATTGAACAGAAAACTAGTTTACTCTGTAAACTTTCACTGAAACCACAATAAAAAGTTTTTTCTAAAAAAGACTCAGACAAAGGAGTCTATCCCTCCAAATGTAAGAGACATTCTAATCTGAATAAAGATCTGTCTTTTAAATTTAAAAAGAAAAGAAAATGTCTTGGATTTTTCTAAATCTCTTACTGTGAGTCACTGCTTATAGCAGTAGGATGTCGAACATTGTCTTTGTGGGCTATGTTATGCCAACTGACTACTATGTTCCCCCAGACGATGGTCTCCAGCCTCCAGACCTAGCAACTCATTCCCTCAAAGTTTTCATTCTTAGATACATTTATAGCAAAATACCCATGTGCATATATCCTCTGTCAAACCTTTATATATTTGTGGGTGGACTCCCAGTCTCCCATCCACACCTGCTCAACCTGTGTATCACTGTTATTCCATATACTTCGTTTCATTTATATGTATGTATGTCGTTGTTAAGTGCCATCAAGTCGGTTCTGTAGTAACCCTGTATAGGGTTTCTGAGGAACTGCTGATGAGCTTGAGCCAGCAGCTTTGTGGCTCAAACAGACTTTGCAGTCAAGCACATTAACCCACAGCACCACAACCAGGACATCATTATATGTGTATATATATATGTATAACAGTATTGACTTATATTCCTTTTAACTCTTGCACTCTTCCCTGTGTCTTCCCCTGCCTTCATCATTTGTCTTGTATATTACCTTCCTCTTCACTCAAATTACCATGTATCATCAGGCTTTATGCTCTGGCCTGCAAGGATTTACAGCCTCGAGTACTCCGTATAGGGTCACTATGAGTTAGTTGGAACTTACTCGATGCAACAACCTTCTAGCCAGTAAATTACTCTCCCTTCCTTCCCATCCTTGGTAACCATCAAAGACTGTTTCTTTTAAATCTTTTCTTGGTTTTTATAGCAGTGGTCACATACAGTATTTGTCGTTTTGTTATTGACTAATTCCACTTAGCTCAGGTTCTTCCAGAGTATGAGGTGTTTTGCAGATTCATCTTTATTCTCTAGTATTTCCATTGTGTGTATGTACCACAGTTTGTTAATCTATTCATCCAGTGATGGGCAGGTAGGCTGTCTCCTACTGTGTGCTATTGTGAATAGTGCTGCAGTGAACATGGGTGTGCATGGATCTATTCATGTCACGGCTCGTATTTCTTGAGTATCTATACCAAGTAGAGGGTTGCTGGCTCATACGGTATTTCTATTCCAAACTTTTAGAGAAATTTCCATACTGTTTTCTACATTGGTTGTACCATTTTAAAGTCCCATTAACAGTGTAAGAGGGTTCTAGACTCTCCACACCCTTGTATGACTAAAATATTGATAGGTTTCAGAATTAATTCTGTAAATTTTAACAGCACCATTGGCATGTCAGGCATTGTAGACAGTGGGATATAGTCATGGACAAGACAAAGACATTGCCCTCTATCACTTATAGTCCTGGTGTGGTGTTGTAGTAGAAATGAGTACAGCATGTTCAGGAATAACTAACTCCAGTGGAGAGAGTTCAAAAGGAGTAGTGATCAGTTGGGCCAAATCAGATAGGACCTAATGGTCTGATGGGAAGTCGTGGGAGGATTTTGAGAAAGGAAGCAATGTGATTCACATTTTAGATGAACTGTCTGCTATGTAGTAGGGCATAACTGTGGTTATTGTTGTTATCAGTTCTAATTCATAGCTGTGCTATGTAGGATTTCTGAGGAGTAGCTGGTGGGTTTGAAATTCCAGCCTTGTAGTTAGCAGTCCAGTTCCTTACCTGATGTGTCACACCAGGCCCAGGCGATAACTAGAGTGAACAAAGATAGAAGCTGTGATGCCAGTTTAAGATGGTCTTGAGATAGCCCAGGTGATGGATGATGAGGGTCTGAAGTGAGTAACAAGGGTGGAAATAGTTCTTCAAATCAGTATTATTTATGTCTTTACAGATGCTTACAAGTGACAGGCACTGTGAATCTCTCACTAAATCGCTGTTGCTCAAAAAAGAATGTTCATGACTCAAGTTCTAATCTATCTTCATTTACAAAAACAACAAGTTTATTTCTAACTCTTAGCATCTTTTTGTTTTTACATCTCAGCTTTCTTATATTCCATTTTTATTTTGCTGGGATATTGCCTAGAGTAATTTTTCATGTGGAATGCATAGATGGCTTAAGTTCTTCTAACAAACAATCTATTTTGCTCTCACTGCTAATTGTTTGTTGCTGACTCCTTGGAGTCTGGTGGAGCACAGTGTGAACAGAGTAGAGACTTTTCTGCTGAGCCTAAGGAACTCAGTGTCTGGGCCCCCACTTCTCTGCATATTCACAGCCATCTTTTCTGGTGTTATTCCTGTATAAACAACCTACTGTTTTAGAATTTCCATGTTATTGTTTATGTTTTTGACTTTGCTTTAGATATCTGGGAGATTTATTACTTTCTTCATTATTTATGTTCTGAAATTTCAGAAGAATGCTTCATGACCCCTGTTTGAAAATTGTATCCTTTGTTCTATAAGACTTAGAGCTTTTCCTTAGTTACTTCTTCGTGGCAGTAGCATCTCTGCTTCTGAGACTTCAATTTGTGAAACCTTGGACTTCTGAGTTTATCCTCTATGTCTCTTAACATTTTATTGCTTATTTTCTATCTCTTACTCTACATTGTGCACTATTTCCAGAGTTCATTTTTCAGATCACCAGGTTAGTTTTAACAAGACTGTTTTACTGCTTCGTCATATACTGACTTTTTGCATCAGTCAGTTTTTAATTTCAAAAAAATTGTTTATTGTCATAGCAATCTGTTCTTTTATGGACACAATAGCCTTTAAATGTTTCTAGACACTAATGAAAATTTTGTCAGATTCTCTCCTGCTTCCTGCTTTATCACTTTTTTAATAGTTGCTCATCTTGTTTATTTCCATGATTTTAAGTTTTCAGATGTTTGATGATGCTAGGTTGTTGGTTTATACTCATGAGAACTAGATTGATTCATGTAAATGGTGCTCTTGGTTTTACCGTTAGCACTTGGGTGTTGATGTTAGTAAATGCCATTGAGTTGATTCTGACTCCCAGTGACCTTGTATGGGGTTTCCAAGGAGTGTCTGGTGAATGTGAAATGCCAACCTTGTGGTTCAAACCGACCTTGCGGTCCAGCACTGTATCCCACAGCGCCACACCAGGACTCCCAGCTGGCTGGGTGGTGGTTGGTGGTTATGTGCTGTGGAGTCAGTTCCAACTCACAATGACCCTGTATAGTGTTTCCTAGGCTGTAAATCTTTACAGGAGCAGAAAACCTCATCCTTCTCCCACAGAACAGCTGGTGGTTTTGAACTGCTGACCTTGCGGTTCACAGCTCTATCTGTAACCACTACACTACCAGAGCTCCTTAGCAGTTGTGTAGGGTTGCTTAAATAATTTACTTGAATGGGTTAATATCAGGTTAGGAATATGTTAACTGTTGACACTCATGTAAGCAGCAGGCAAGAAACCAAATGAATTAGATTAGGCAAATCTGGTGCATAAGATCATTTTAAAGTGTTAAAGAGTAAAGATGTCAGTTTGAGGACTGAGGTGCACCTGACCCAAGCCATGGTATTTTCAGTAGCCTCATATGCATGTGAAAGTTTGGACACTGAATAAGGAAGACCGAAGAAGAATTGATGCATTAGAGTGATGGTGTTGGAGGAATACTAAAGTACCATACACTGCCAGAAGAACAAACAAATCCTGTGTTGAAAGCAGTACAGTCAGAATGATCCTTAGAAGCCAGAATGGCGAGACTTCATCTCTTATTCTTCAGACAGGTCCTTGGAGAAAGGATATCATGTTTGGTAAAGTGGAGGGTCAGCGAAAAAGAGGAAAACTCCCAAAGAGCTGAATGAGTACAGTGCCACAGCAACGGGCTCAAGTGTAACAGTTGTGAGGATGGTGCAGCAACGGGCTATCTTTGGTTCTGTTTTGCACGGAATTGCTGTGGGTTGGAACTGCCTCAACAGAACCTAACAACAGCAACAGTGCATGCATAGGCATATTATGCCATCAGGCCTGTCCTACAAAGCATGGCATATAGGGCAGACTTGTTAAGTGCCATTGAGTTGGTTACGATTCATAGCGACCCTGTGAAGGGGTTCCAAAGAGTGGTGGGTGGATTTGAATCGCCAACTTAATGGACCCCTGAAATTCAGTAGAGGTTGGATACTGTGTATATTCTGCACTTTGCCATTGTCATTCTCTCTCCTACCTCTGACTTTTCTGAATTCTGAAATAGGATCTACTGGTATTTCCCAATGCTTATATCTGTCTCCAGCACCTGCAATTAATGTGCACCTGAGACCTACAACTCTTAACCTAAGGGCAAAGGTGGCAGGTGGTTGGCCTCTCCTTGTACTCTATATTATTGGCGTAGGGATGATCTAGCTCAGCTTTTTTGGTTTAATTAATTACCTTGATAGTAAATTTAGAGTTTTCTTCTTGGTTTCTGTGGGAGGGCTTCTTTCATCTGGTGTTTAGAGCTACTGTAGTGTTTCTCTAAGTCCACTCTTAACTGTTTTCAATTGTCTAGGATTTCTTAAAAACTTATCTGCTACCTGTTCCATTTCTTGTTCTCTGGGCCTAGTATTAATTTTTCTTGCTTAGAATATATTGTTCTCTCATTTCAAAAGCACTTTGGAAACCAAAAGACCTTTGTGAGTCAGTCTGCTGTTTGAACCAGTATTATTTTGCTTGCTTGTTAATATATTCATGTATAGTTATTGACTTGGCTATTGTTTAATTATCTCTTTGTTTTGTTTCTGGGGGGAAAATGAGCCAATCATCTTCTC